ACCCCCAAGCTCTCCAAACAACCCAGATTTACCACCTTGACCCACACAGCCTGAAACAGGAGGAATGTTAAAGGTCATCCAGCCCAACCCCCACCAACGCTCTGATGGGGAAACTCTGATGGGGAAACTGAGGCCAGAGAAAGGAAGGGATTTGTCTGAGATTCCTCTATCCCCTGAAAAAAGCAAAATTCATTCACCTCCCACATTCTGTGAGTGTACCCCCATTCTGCATTTTCATCTGCCAGACACCCAGCCTAGTTGTAATTAACTCCTCCCTTTCTCTAATTTCCTGTATCTATTCAGTTACCCAGTCCCCCACCCAGTCCTAGTCTATTCCTTCCTTCCCATTCTCCCCACCACCTCCCTGCTCCAGCTACTCATTACCTCATGCCTGGAATATAAAAGAAAACTGCGATAACCTCCTCGCTGATTTCCTATATGGAATCTCTCCCTCCCTCCCACCCAGCCATACCATGGTGACCAGATTCATCTGATCAAAATTTGCATATGTTATGATGTCACTCAGGAGCCTATAATGGCTTCCTAATGCCTATCGGGTAAAGGTAAAACACCTTAGCAAAGCATCAAAGATCCCTCAGAGTCTGGTACCAACTGCTTTTCGAGCCTTTTCTCTCACAATCTCATCCCAAACCTTCACTCCAGCTAGAACGTTGACATCATACTGGCCACCAGTTATCATGTATCTGAAACCCACCAACCGACTGAGTGCCCCCTAAAATTTCTCAGTCTCCCCTGAAGTAGGAAACCTCTCCCCCATCCTCAGATCTCACACTCTAGAGCCCTTTCCCAAGGCCAAGACTGCACCTCTCTGACCATATATGGGGGTTCTTCAAAGCAGCAGATAGAGGCTCAGGCTCTGGCTTCCTCCAAGCAGACGGCTGCCCCCGACTGGCCACCTGGGGAAGCACAGCCAGGCTTCAGTCGTCCAGAGCTGAGAATGAACATCTAACCGCCTGGGGAGAGGAATAGAAGGACACCAGATGATAAGGTTTATAAGCCCTTAAGCCTCTAAGGTTCTTACACCCACAGTAGGGGGAGGGTTCTCAGCCCTGTTTTCCTAGCTGCAGGCTCCCAACTTTTGATCCCTAATCTGAGAGGAACTCCCCTCCTATGAAATACAGACTTGGGAGTCTCAGGACACTGTGGAAGAGAAATTTCCCAACAGACTCTGCGAAGCCAGGAGGCCAGGGATAGTCCAGGTGGCAGGCCCAAGGTCCAGCTGGGGTCAGGTTTCTATATGAATTTTTAATGCTTCCAGACAGACCTGTCAAATGTTCTGAAACCTGAGCATCTCCTTTCATCTCTGTACATGATGCCCTTTTCCAACCCCATTGACCCTGCAGGAGGGCAGGCCTGGGACAGATATTCAGCGGCCTCTGGAGAAACGGTTTGGGGACAGTAGAAGGGTGAATGACCTAGTTATGCTCCCACTAGTAAGCTGTGTGACCTTGGGCAAGTTACTTAACCTCTCTGAACATTAGAGTTTTGTGTTTTTTGTTTTGGTTTGGTTTTTTTGTTTGTTTTGTTTTATTTTGCTTTTGTAAGCTGGGGACAATAGTGCCAGCCTAAATCAATTTGTTGTGGGGACTCAGTGCACTAGCCCATGGCAAGGTGACCTACATGCTTGCTGGGATTATTCTCTTTCCTCAAGTTCTGCCTCCCTCTTCCGGCTTTTCTTCCAACCCCAAAGGTGTCTCTGGCTATTGCTTAGAAGACAGGAGCTTTGGTTGGTTCTTCCCTCTCCCTTCAGGCCCAAACTCCCCACCTCAAGATCCTTTAGCCTTTGTAGAAACTTCAGGTGAGGAGGTGGCAGGGAGATAAGAAAGTGAGCAAGGCTGGTGGAGTGAGAGAGGAGGATAGACGGCAAAGCCCTAGCAGAGGGGAGGGAAGTGGGCAGTGGAGAGAGGAAGGGAAGACCCTGCTCAGAGAGAGAAGAGCCAGGTGCAGACTCATTCCTTCATCTCTCCTTCCTTCCTTTTTTCCTTCCTTCCTTCCCTCCCTCCCTCCCTCCCTCCCTCCCTCCCTCCTTCCTTCCTTCCTTCCTTCCTTCCTTCCTTCCTTCCTTCCTTCCTTCCTTCCTTCCTTCCTTCCGTTTGTCCATCTTCTCCACACCTGGTACCATCACACAGAAGCAGAGAGGACTACACTTGGTGAAAGTTTGAATTCTCCTGTGGAGAGATGAGCACTGAGGAGGGCTGGGGGCTGTCGAAGGAGACTTGCCCAATCTTTCCAGCCCACCAATCCCTTGCCCAGTGTTTCTACAAAATAGGGGCCTTTTGCATCTGATTTAAGTAGGAAGCTGATTCCTGAGCCCCTCGGATCTGCTGAATCAGATAGCTAACGGGGCCCTGGAATCTGCATTTTAGCAGGTGGAGGTGGGTTATGAAGCACTCCAAAGTTTGAGACAGGCCTCAAAGAAAATGCAAACTGGGAAGGGGTCACACTTGGGAAAGGTTTCAGACAATACTGAGTGGAAAGGGTGTTGCCAGGTGTGGGGAATAACAGATGGAGGAGGCAAAGTGAGTGGAGACCAAGCCAGACCGGGGAGGAGGGGGCCACAGCCAAGGTGAGACAGGTCAGCAGCCAGAAACCAAAGCAGACACTTGCAGGGTGCGCCCAGCCCTCTCTTAGTGGCGATCTGAGACCCAGGATGTGGAGACCCTTGGAGAGCCCCCACCTTGTTTCTGGGGCGGGGGTCAGAGAGGAAGCCTCTCATCCCCAGGCACCAGCGGCCCTCCCCGGAGGCTCAACACGCAGATATCTGGATAGGCATCAATCACTCCCCTGGCCAGATCCCACCAACGCTCCTCGAAGTCCGACCTTGTCCCTCCTTCTACCCCACATTCCCAAGTCCTAGCTCATCTGCATAAAACTCCAATTAACACGTTTCTCCTTTGCTATTTGCGATCCCAGAACTCCATCCCCACCCCGAGCCCGTTTCCCGCCGCCCCCTCGCCCCTGGGAGGGCGGCCCCATTAACCCTCGCGACCCGGGCCGCTTCCCGCGGTCCTGACCCCACCACCCCGTCCTGCGGTGGGGGGTTGGGGGTGAGGAGCGCGCCCTGGGGCGGAGGATTGCGCGGCAGGGTCTGCCACAGGCCAGAGGCCAGGGCTCTCCGGGAAAAAGGCAGGCGCATATCCGCCCCCCTTTCTGGGAAAAGATGGGGAGGGGGGCTTCTCCTGGGAGACTCCGGGCATCGAAATTCCTCGTTCCCTATCCTCCGGCCCCCGCACCCCTCCTCCTCCCCGCCACGCACCCTCTCCCCTCCCCAGCCATCTGTTCCACTCCGCAGCGCCGCGACAAACACGGCTCCAGCTCGCTTCCGCCCCTGCCCAGCCCCCTCCCCAAGCCCCGGGGAGTGGGGGAGTGAGCAGACGCCCTTCTCCTAGGACGCCGGAATTCCTGCCTCCATTCCCACCGGGGTCCGGCAGGCCAGCGGCAGGCGTCGAGACCCCCCCACCACCACCACCACCGTTGCGAGGGTCGGTGAGGCTGCAGATAACGCTTGCAAGGATAGGGGTCGGGGAGGGTGTAGGGAGAGTTTAAAGGACCGGCAGAGCAAGCACCAGGTAGGGGCTCTGGAGCCCGAGACCCGGGAAGAGGCAGGGGTTTTCCCTCCTGGTTCGCCGCCCCCACCAACCCTCGTCGCCAGCCGCAGCCACGCAGCGCCGCCTGCTGGGCACACCAAGGACCTGGCGCGAACGTGGCGCTTCCCCCTTCTCCCTCCCCCGCCCGCTCCTGGCTCGCGCTCAGCCTCCCCAGACTATTCGCAAAGTGAGGATCCCAGACAGACAGTGCAGAGACCCCGGCAAGCCCACTGAAAGCCAGCCGAACCCGTTGGTGGGTGCTGTCCAATTCTGATTTTGTACTTTGCAAAAACAAAAAAAATCAGTGTTGGAAGTCGGGAGTCTGGGCTCACAGCAGCAGGGATCTGCGATGTGACTTTGCCAAGTCTCCAGACCCCTGTGGACAGGTTTGCCTATTTGAAAATAGGGGGGTCGGGCTCTCTTATTAACTTCTCAAGAGAAACAAAGACAAAGGGAGGGAAAATGACTGTATCTGGAATGCTGTCTTACAAAGTCAACCTTTGGAGGTGGGGGGATGGCCAAGGCCTCTGAGGTCACTCTTGGCCCCAGGAGCAGCTGAGAACTGGAAGCTTGGAACCTCCTTTCTGCAGAGGTGTCCTTTCCACAGACTGCCGAGGTTCCAAATTGAGCTCCACCACCTACCACTGTATGCCCTTGGGTGTGTGCCTTAAACTCTCTGGGCTTGTTTCCTAGAGCGACAAGAATGACGCCACCAACCTCTTAGGCTATAGTTTGGATAAAATGAGATAGCTGTGTAGAACAGACAGACCCTAAACCAATGTTAGTTTTCCCTTCATTCGGGGACTTGCTCTAACCTCCGAGGCTTATGTCCCAGGTACACAAGCAGGTGCAGGGCTGGATAAATAAGGTACGTCTTTCTGCAGTATCTCTTGTCCTCACTGATGGTGTCTTCTCTTGATGTAGATAATTTTAAAGCCTCACTTTATTTATTTACTTTAAAGCCTCACTTTAATGTTAAAGGTAAATGTAAATATAGTATAACAAGGAAGCTCAAAATTTGCATAAAGTTTTAAGATAAAATAGGAGACTCCAAAAAAGTTACTTTCGGCAGGCCCTAGGGATGCTATGGTGGGAAAGTTTGAGTCATACCTTAGCATTCTTTCTAAAGCATTCTGTCCTAATCCTCTGTATGGAGAAAAGCCAGCTTCCTGGATGTACCCCAATCCCGGGAAGTACGGGGCAGAATCTGGACTCCCTCCAAGCACTAAGGGCAGGGCATGGTTGCGAACAGGGAGGTGAGCCAGACAGCCAGAGGCAAACAGGCTGGCATGCCAAGTGTCCTACTTAATGCCCAGCTGAGCCTGGGTGAAGAAGGATGGGGGTGTGGGATGACACCCCCCACCCACCACCAAAGACAGGCGCACACCAGCGAGTCTCTCACTTCCCTTTTTATTTCCTCTAAGACTTGCAAGAAGCAGCACCAGAGAGGGAACCCGCCCTCCTGCCCCTGGAAGGGGCCGACCCTCAACCCCCAACCCAGGACACAGTTGGCACCTCAGGCCCCTTTCCTTCTGAAAGGAGGGCTGTGTCTCTCTCACATTCGCACACACACAGACACATGCACGTGTGCATACTCATGGCACATGGGACCTTAGGGATAGCCTGTTTGCAGATCCCCCCAAGAGGCACCAGGAAGCAGACCCCTAGAAAGAGATAAGAGGCAGCTCCACATCCTGGTCTCCTCCAACCCAAGGAGGAAGAAGGCTCCACCCCTCTAGGACAGGGACTGTCTTCAGTCAATGGAGCGTTGCTTTGGGGGACCTTTTTGCAGGTTTTTTTTTTTTTTCCTTTCTGCAGTCTTTACAAAAATAGAACTTCTCTTGGTATTTATAAATCCACGGCCATGGCTCTATGTGCATGTTACAGGTAGAAAAGCCATATGAGGCACTCCTTTTGGTTGCTCAGGCCTTGATTGCCTGTCATGCAGGTCCCTTGGTCTCAGAAGTCTATGCAGTCACCTCAGAGCCACTAAGCACCTTCAGTGGGCCCATCCCATTGGCAGTGTACTCCTTCCGGAGCCGGGCACGGTAGTAGAAGAGGTAGGAAGGCAACAGGAATCCCAGGAGTGAGAATAGCAGGAGGCCCAGATTCACCTTTAGGGCAAGGAGAGAGAAACAGAGTCAAGTAGGTACTCATCTGCCCTTAGCCTCCCACAGGGAGGAGAAGGTGGCCATTTTCTCCAGGTCCTGAGCCAGAATAAATACAGCTAGTACGTATGATGTGTTGTCATTGTTCCACCAGTATCTCACTTAATGTTCAGCAGTTCTGCAAAGTGGCTGAGATGAGACCGCTCAAGCCTAACAAGTGGCAGGGCCTGGTGGGTGCCCACACCATATGGGCCTCTCTGGGTAGGTATGAGGAAGGCACAGCACTGTAGGAGTCTGGGCTGGTCAGGCTGCTCCAGAAATGGGGCCTTGTGGGCTCACCACTCTGACCTTTGCAGATGTTAACCAATGGTATCCCGTTCAGGGTGGCGAGACGAGGGTCTCAGACACTGTTCAAGGAGCTGGGAGGTACAGCCTGGCAGACAGAAGGCTTGGAAGGCCCAGGACACACGGGCTCTGACTCGGTTCACATCCCACTCTGCATTACTCACTTTGTGACTTTGGGCAAATAATGGCAGTGCTTACTGAGTGCCTCCTTCTCAGGGCTGTTGTGGCAAAGATGTAAGTTAAAAAAAAAAAGTATGCATCATGCTTAGCACATAACGAGTGCTCGGTAAACAGAAGCGGTTATTTCATCACAATTCTTGTGGGAGGAGGGTTTATGTGTGGGTGGCCCCACAGGGCAGATGCAAGATCAGCATCAGGGAGGCAGATGAGTTCAATGTAAGGAAAAGACTTTCTGACAGCAGCAGGGCTGCCTCATGCAGGAGTGGGTGCCCTACCACTGAGGGTATCTAAGCTAAGAGAGAAGAAGCCCCTTTCAGGGGTGCTGGAGACAGGATCCCACACTAGGTAGAACTGGACTGGACCAATGGTACCTGAACACAGGCCCAAGAGTCAGGACTGGCCACTTCACAAAGTACCTGGAGTTTATTAAATACAGACTCCTAGGAGGCCAGGCACTGTGGCGCACGCCTGTAACCCCAGCACTCTGGGAGGCCAAGGTGAGATCATTTGAGGCCAGGAGTTTAAGACCAGCCTGGGTAACATGGCAAGACCCTGTTTATCTCTACACAATTTTTAAAAAAAAATTAGCCAGGTGTGGTAGCCATCACCTGTGGTTCCAGCTACTCAGAAGGCTGAGGCTGGAGGATCGCTTTAGCCCAGGAGTCGGAGGCTGCAGTGAGCTGTGATTGTACCACTGCACTCCAGACTGGGCAACAGAGCGAGACACCATCTCTATAAAAAATAACAATAAATTAAAAACAAAAACAGACTCCTAGGGTCAGGCTGAGATATCCTGATTCAGGGGGCTGGGGAATTACACTCTGTGAGGGGTTCTAAAAGGCAGACAACTTGGGAACCTGCAGATTAAAGACCTCTGAGGTGCCTCTGGCTGAGATGAGTGAGGGATGGCACCACATACAAGGCCCTACCCCTGCCCCCAGGAGAGTGGCTCCTGCTCCCCCCATGCCAACCCTTGCTCTCACCCAGAAGGGCTCTCCTTTCAGGGGTCCCACCATCGCCATGAAAAGTGGCTGCTGAAGCAAGGCGAACACGGCACTGATGAGGGACTGCAGGCCTGTCAGCGTCCCAAAGTGGTTGGATGGGAACCTGTCCACGAGATGGGGAGCATCAGGGGTGTGTGGTCCTCTCCAGCCCAGGCCGGCACCTCTCCTATCCCCTCCCCACCATGATCCCCGTTGGCCAGGCAGGGTGGTGCTTGAGCGTTCAAGCTCTTTGCATGGGTTCTTTGGTCCCCAGCCTTGAGGGTAAATGCTGCAACTTCGGGGCCACTGAGCTGGGTTCTGACACCTCCTGGATGTGTGATATTAGCAAATGGCTCAACTTTCCTGAGCCCCACTCCTCCACTAATAACAGGGATGGCACTGACCTCGCAGGACTGTCCACTGTATTCTGTCAACAAATGTTTAGCTGAGAACCTACTATGTGCCAGGCACTGTTCTAGGTGCTGGAGATATCGCGATCAAGCAAGCCAACAGATTCCTGCCGTCGAGGAGGTGGCATTCCCATGGAGCAGGTGGCAGTGAGACAATAAGCAAGAGAAATGCAGAGTGTTAGACAGTGACAAATGCTAAGGAGAAAAGCGGAGCAGAGAAGGGGGCAGTAGGGAGGTTGCAGTTGTACATAGGACAGCCAAGGGAGGCCTCACTGAGAAGAGGACAGTCAGGGAAAGACCTGAAGGACAGAAGGTGAGACTGGGCACCTTGCAGATATCTGGAGAAGAATGTTCTAGAAACAGGGAGTAGTACATGCAAAGATGCCAAACAGAGAACACACTAGAGACTTCCAGAGCGCTAGGAAGCCACTGTGGCTGTGGCAGAGTGAGCAAGGGAGGAGGGGGAGCTAGAGAGGAGTGAAGTGCTGAGGCCAGAGCTTGCAGGGCTTTTTAGGCCATAGTAAAGCCTTTGGCTTTTACTCTGAGACAGATGAGATGGGAGGCCACAGGGTGATGTGAAGAGACTTATGTCCTGACAGGTGACTGCAGCCCCTGTGTTAAAAATAGACTGAGGCGGGGGGGCCAGGGCAGATGTGGGAGACTAAAGGCTGCCACAATAATCCAGGCTAGAGATGTTGGTGGCTAGGACTGGAGAGGCAGCAGTGGAGGTGACAAGAGGGGTCAGCTTTGGGGTATGTGGGAGCTGCTGCTGGCTGCACCGAGGATGGAGTGAACGTGGAGGGTGGGGGAAGCGAAGAATGAAGGAAACTCCAGGGTTCTGGCTTGAGCAGATGAAGGGAAGAGAACTGCCCTCTGCCGAGACCGCTGCAGTGAGGCTGAACTCAGGAAGTGATGGTCCAGGATCCTGCCTACTGCCTACACCAACGGAGCACGTGATAATGGTTCTGATTTTGTCATCATTATTGTAATGTCCTGTTACTCCATCACATACACAGGGGAGAGGCCCTCAGCAGCCGGCAGGGGAAACCAGAAAAGACAGGCAAGTGGGGACTGTCCAACATGTCCCCAACATGAAGAGGAAAATTATAAGGCAAATGGCTGCCCTTAGGAAATTTCTTCAGGGTGGGCATGGAGGGGAGGCCACTCTGGGGGCCGTTTCAAACAGCAGACTTAGGACTAAAGTGTCATCAAGCCAGGTATTTCAGCTTCCTCTAAGGGAAGACTCCAACAGGGGGAGTCAATTACAGCGGGATAGGCTGCCTTTAAGGAAGTGAGCTCCCTGCCATCAGAGGGGCTCAGAGAGGGGCGCATTAGGGGATGCCTGGGGCCCTTCCAGCCCTGCCCTGGGGTACTCTGATCACAGTTGCAAAGCTCAGGAAGGCGTTTCAGCCGAACAGACTCACACTGCAGCATAGAGACTCCCACAGGCCGAGTGGAAGAAACCTCGAACAATGGTGTGCAGAACAAAGGTCACAAACTAAAGGCAAAAAGAGAGAGTGAAGAGGTTAGGAGAGTGTGTGGAGGCTGGAGGAAGGAGGGGTAGGGCGAAGAAGCCAACTGGGCCTCAATTCCTACCCCCTCGCCAACCCAATCTACTAGAAACACTTCCTGGAGAACCCGGAAAATAGATCCAGATCAGAAGACCAGAACTGCGCTTCCTGAAAAGCAGGTGCTGGGTGGACCATCCCTTTGGAGGAGTCTCGGGAGGCAGGGAGAGGGAAGGATGGAGGTGGGTACCTGGAGGTGTAAGTTGTTGATGAGGCAGGTGACGCCAAAACCCACAAGCAGCAGGTTGGTCAGGGTGAAGGCGTTGATGGCATTGGTGAGCTTTTGGATCTTGCAGTAGCGTGGTCTGATGGATTTGGTAGCAACCCCGTCCCTGAGGAGAACGGGAAGTCACTGGCTGCTGCCTCTACATTCCCAGGACTCCCTGGTTCTTGGCCTGGCCCCTCCCCCTTCGGATGTGCTTTCGATGTCAGGCAAGCAGAAAACATAGAAATTCATGTTTCTATGGGAAACCCATAGAAACCCATGTTTTCTAGCTCCATGTTTCTCAAAGTTTTGCTCCCCTACCCAATGACACAAGCATCAAAGTGGATGCTTTCTTCACATGCAGATTCACAGGCCTCATCTCAGCCCCCGGAATCTCAGCAGGGAGATCTGCAGATCTGCATTTGGACAAACACCCCCCACGAAGTGATTCTCATGCACACTTGAAGGTTTGAGAACCAAGCATGGGAAGGAAGGTGGAAAGTGGGAAGCTCTCGCACCATCTCTCATCGTCTCTCATCAGAAGTCCTCAGGAAGCTGTCCCTGCCCTGGACAAAAGCAGATGCCCTCCTGGGGACAGCAGCTTGGTCCGACTGTCCAGCGCTTCCTCTCGCTGGCACAAACAAGGGCTCTGAGGCCAGCCCAGGAGACAGGTCAGTAGGCTGGGGTGAGGGCAGGCGGTCCATGTGTCCTGGACAGAAGGACCCTGCTAGAGGACCCTCGCCATGAGGAGCAGAGGGTAGAGGAGGAAGGCTCAGTGCCAGGGCCAGGCTCTGCTGGCAGGGAGGGAAGCCACTGGATTTCCTTCTCTCCCAGTCTCTTTCTCCCACCCTCTCAGGATAAACAGGGACTGTTTGGATGAACACAAAAAGAGCAAAAGCAGTCACAGAATCTGGGTTCAAGACTCCATGGTGAACTCCAGCTACTCGGGAGGCTGAGGCAGGAGAATCGCTTGAACCTGGGAGGCAGAGGTTGCAGTGAGCTGAGATCCTGCCACTGCACTCCAGCCTGGGTGACAGAGCAAGACTCTGTCTCAAAAACAAAACAAAACCCTCAATGGTGGTCTCCAGCCAACAAGATGGCCCCCAAGGATCCTGCCTCCTGGTATCCCCTGTTTTGTGCGGTCTCCTTCCACAGTATATCAGGGTTATTCTGTGCCTATAATAGAATGTAACAGAATGTTACATTATGTAATGTTAATGTAATGACTTAAATGGGCAACCCTGTACCTCGGTTTCCTCATCCGCAAAATGGAGATATTAATGTACCTACCTCAGAGAGGTGTTGTAGGACTAAACAAGGCAAGGTGCCGAGCGGTGCACAGTCAGCACGCTGCATTAGCTATTCTTATTATTAAGCAAGCCAGGTCCCTTCCTAGCCTCGGTTTCCTCATTTGTAAAATGGGGAGGTACCTCTGCTCTCTTAGGGTTCTTAGGAGAAAGAAATGAGCTGCTGGATGTAAACGTGCAGAGAAAATGAAGACCGCTGCCTGACCACTTGCTGTCACCATCCCTGTACGGGCCGGTCACCTGGCATCTCCGAGGACAGTGCCCTGAGTTGGGGCGTCCACGCAGTCCTTGATCCGCCAATCCATGATGTAGCCAATGAGGGGGCAGGTGAGAAGGCACAACAGCTGCATGGCCCCGAAGATGGAGGAGTAGAACCCAACTGGGCAGGATGGGAAGGGCAGTGGGGTCAGAAACTGGCACTCAGTGGACACCATCACCCCTTCCAGCAGAGGCCAGAGAGCACCAAAATAGCCTTCCTCTGAACCCAGACTCTTACATCCCCCAAATGCCCAGGGTTACCTGGGTGGGTCCAGGCCTAGAGGAGTCCCGCCCCCTGAGAAGCGGGTTGCAGCAGGGTGGGCGTGGGCCAGGGCCCTGCTTTCATCGCCCTACCTGTCTCTGCCACCTTTTGTTGCTGCTGTTCATTCATCTCTGTGGATAGGGAAAGGTACGGTGAGGGGAGCTCAGCCAGGGTGACCCTCCTGTGCCCCCAATCCCCAGGGGCCTCAGCGGTGCCTCACCATGCTCCTGGCCTCCAGTCACAAGGTACTCCAGCATCTTGTTCATGGCAGCCATGTAGAAGATGATCCGCAGCTGGGTCATGCCCATGGTGAGGAGGCTCCACAGGAAAATGGGGGAGCAGAGGCTCTTGCGGAAGGGGACGGACCCTGGGGAGACAGCAGGGGGCGCCCCTGAGCCCCAGACCTTCCACTGCCCTCTGATTGTCCCAGCTCATGCAGTTCTTGAGGGGAGTGACACTATGTGACTTTGGAGAGGGACTGGTTTCTTCAAAGACGGGAAAGTTCAGATTCACTTGCCTGCAGGCTCCTGCTCAGCTCAGAACATTTTTAGGTGCCCTCTGGATGTATGTCCTATGCTTTGTGTGGTAAAAATGACTCAGTTGAGCACCATGGCTCAAGCCTGTAATCCCAACACTTTGGGAGGCAGAGGTAGGAGGATCACTTAGCCCAGGAGTTCAAGACCAGCCTAGTGGTCAACATAGCGAGATCCTATCTCTAAAATTAAAAAAAAAAAAAAAAAAAGTATATATATAATTAGCCAGGCATGGTGGTGCACACCTGTATTCCCAGCTACTCAGGAGGCTGAGGCAGGAGGATCGCTTGAGCCCAGGAGGTCAAGGCTGCAGTGAGCTATGATTGTACCACTGCACTCCAGCCTAGGCAACAGCAAGACCCTGTCTATTTTTACAAAAAACAAAACTGGCAGGGCACGGTGGCTCACACCTGTAATCTCAAAACTTTGGGAGGCTGAGGTAGGAGGATCATGAGGTCAGGAGTTTGAGACCAGCCTGGCCAACATGGTAAAACCTCATCTCTACTAAAGATACAGAAATTAGCCGGGTGTGGTGGTGCACGCCTGTAGTCCCAGCTATTTGGGAGGCTGAGGCAGGAGAATTGCTTGAACCCAGGAGGTGGAAGTTGGAGTGAGCCAAGATTGTGTGCCTAGGCAACAGAGCGAGGCTTCATTTCAAAAAAAAAAAAAAAAACAGAAACAAAAAAAACTCTGAAGCACTCACTATGGACTACATACTTGACATTTATTATCCCATTTAATCAATCTTACAACAACCCTGTCTTTATCACATTTCACTGATGAGGAAACTGCAGCTCAGGAAGTTAAATGACTTGCCCAAGCTCACAGGGTGGGAAGCAGCAGGTCAGCCTAACTCCAGCTCATGCCCTTAGCCATGCCGCCCTCTGAGAATCGGCTCTGGGGGTAACCACCGTCAAACTGCACACCGTTTTGCACTTTACAGAGAGCTTCCACATCCATGGTGTCATTCAGTCATCACAACTAACTTTAGAGTTTGTGGGGTGCTTTTAGTGCTAGTATAAGAGGTAAGGAAATCAAGAGCAAGGTTAAGTGATCTACCCAAGCCACACAGCCTATAACTGGAGAGCAGGACTCAAACCCCTCAACTGACTCCAAGGAGCTCCTTCCACTTATGGAACTGGCAGTCCTGGGATTTTCATGTCCCTCCTGAGCAGCAGCCCAGGCAGGTTGCAGCTCCTCCTGTGACCAGCAGGGGGCAAAAGCCAGCCAGGTGTGGAGGACCCCTGCCAGGAGGCTCGTGGGCCTACCTGCACCTGATGCAATAAGCTCAGAGGTTGCAAGGGGCCCTGAGGAGACCAGCTACCCGACAGGCCCAGAGACCAATCCCCCTTGTACTCCATGGGTACAAGGAGCTCCTCCCTCCCCCATCCCAGGAAACCAGCAGGGTAACCCTGAATCTGAACTGCCCAGAGTTAGTTGAGCTTTGATTTGCCCATCCGTAAATGGAGAGCACGCCCCACCTACATCATGGGATGTTGTAAGGACTGAAGAGGGGCGCGAATAAATACTCAAGCCTGAGGGCTCCCTGAATATGAGGACCCACCGTCCCTGTTCCCCAAGGCCGGCACCTTGACCAGCCACTCACTCTCAGGAGGGTTTTCTGAGGTGCCGGGAACATCCTGGGACGACATGAAGGCATCTGACCCGTCCTCCAGGCTGGGGGCCTTCTGGCTCAGCCTCTGGCCCACGGTGGTCACATGGGTGTAGAAGCGGTCGCCTGTCACCTTGTGGTCCAGGGCCAGCCCACTCAGCTTGATCTTCTTCCTGCAGGCAGTCAGGCCAGAGTGTAGGGAACCAGTCACACAGAGCCCACCTTCAACAGCCTAGTGCTCGGCCGCCGTCCCAGCGGTGTCCAGCACCCCCTTACCCGGCACTGACGTGCTTGCAAGCTCCCTAATGCAGAGCTCCTGGTTTGTTGCTCAGAGCTTGGCTCAGGGACTAGCTTAGCACAGATGCCAAGTAAATGAAGAGTGGATCAGCTGTTTTTCACTTGGGCTGTTCCTATGGCGGAGGCGGCATTAAGACCTCAGACTCCAGAGTCAGACAGCCTGTGTCCAACCTAAGATTCACCCTCCTTTGAATGGCATGACCTTTGGAAAGTCACTTTGTTCCCTGCACTTTTGTTATTAATGGAGTTAATACCGAATCTACATCATACAGCTGTTTGAGGATGGGATAGGGGCTAAGTACAGTGCCTGGCATAACTGTCAGCTCTGTAATGTCACCTTATGTGCTTGGTGGGGAACATCACCTCTTGCCTCGGCTGCACTGATAGGGGGCTGGAAAAAGTTGGTGTTCAGGTGGCCCCACAAAAGGCAGAGTGCTGGATTCTTTTATGTCCCTCTTTTTGGAACCACATGGCATCAAGTGCTATTACTGAGGTACCTCCTACTCTGATCTCCAAACCCAGAAAGGATGAAAACAATATTTTGTTGTTACTTTTTTTTTTTTTTTTGAGATGGAGGTTTTGCTCTTGTTGCCCACGCTGGAGTGCAATGGTGTGATCTCAGCTCACTGCAACCTCAGCCTCTAGGGTTTAAGCGATTCTCCTGCCTCAGCCTCCCGACTAGCTGGGATTACAGGCATGCACCACCACGCCCAGCTAATTTTGTATTTTTAGTAGAGATGGTATTTCTCCATGTTGGTCAGGCTAGTCTAGAACTTCCCACCTCAGGTGATCCGCCCTCCTTGGCCTCCCAAAGTGCTGGGATTACAGGCATCAGCCACCGCAACTGGCCTATTACTTTTAATGGCAAAAACCATAATTACTTTTGCACTCACATAAATAGTTACCATAGGCTGGGCATGGTGGCTCACACCTGTAATCCCAGCACTTTGGGAGGCCGAGCCAGGCAGATCACTTGAGGCCAGGAGTTCAAGACCAGCCTGGCCAACATGGTGAAACCCTGTCTCTACTAAAAAATACAAAAATTAGCCAGGTGTGGTGGCGCGTGCCTGTAATCCTAGCTATTCAGGAGGCTGAAGCAGGAGAATCACTTTAACTCAGGAGACAGAAGTTGCAGTTCACTGAGATCACACCACTGCACTCCAGCCTGGGTGACAGAGTGAGACTCTGTCAAATAAATAAATAAATAAATAATTAGTTACCATGTTTTGACCACCTGTTATGTACCAACTCTATCACTTAAAAACACCCATGGGAGGCTGGGCACAGTGGCTCACGCCTGTAATCTGGCACTTTGGGAGGCCAAGTGGGGAGGATCACTTAAGTCCAGGAGTTCAAAACCATCCTGGGTAACACAGTAAGCCCCGTCTCTACAAAAAATTACAAAACTAACTGGGCATGGTGGTATGTGCCTGTAACCCCAGCACCTCGGGAGGCAGAGGGAGAGGTTCGCTTGAGCCCAGCAGTTTGAGGCTGCAGTGAACCAGAACCAAGACACTGCCCTCCAGCCTGAGTGAGAGAGCAAGACACTGCCTCTAAAAAGACAGACAAAAGCGACCTGTGGGTAGGTAGGAACAGGCTTACAGTACAGATGAGAAAGCAGAGCTTGGAGGGCTCAAGCGATTTGCCAAGCAGAAGTCCAAGTTGAGGTCTCTCTGAATCCCAAGTTAATTCCATCTATCATATCACCACACCCCTGACCACCCTCTCTGCCCCAGGGAGAGTCTCCGCCCACTCCAGCCACTCACGTGTAATTGACTTCCTCAGGGGCAGGAAAGGCTTCGACGGGCCAGTTGAGGGCGCAGTTCAGAAAGATAAGGCAGGCCAGGCCAGACCAGGTAAACATGATGACCACGAAGGCCACACCGGCATCGTAGATCAGCTGTGAGAGGAGGGGGCAGGCCCGTGGGGGAGACTGCCTGGCCCCAGACCCCACCAAGGTAGATCCCAGGCCTCAGAGGCCTTAAAGAAGGTCTCTTCTCCCCTTGTCCTTGTGCCCAATTTGCAGATGAGGAAACCAAGACCAGAAGTTTAGAGTCAGACTCAGAAGACCCATCATTCCTCTTTCTTTTTCACTTGAGCTCCCCTAGAGAGCTATGAAGTAGTCTCCACAAAGCCTGAAGCTGCTGGCCACTGGCTCAAAATGTCTCTGAAATTTCCATTATCTTAAAAAGATACATATATTTTTGCCTAGGACTCCACAAACATTCATGTTCATGTTCACACAAAAATGTCCACTTCATAGTATGTACAAAGGAAACTTAGAACTCTAGGTTTACTGGGCCTCACTGTGTTTATCCTGCCCCTTCCTGGCACGTTCCCCGGGGGAAAAGGCAAACCCAGACTGCTCATGCTCAGCCTTATCTCACCTTTCCCAGGTGCTCCCAGTGCAACCACTGGGGGTCGGGGAGAGGGAGATGCAAGTGCTCTGCCTAAGGGCTCTCAACCCCAGGGCAGGTAAGTTCTCATTTGAATGAGATTCTGTGCAAATGCGTCAGCCCCTCTTATGGAAGAAGCTGGTGCACAGAGAAGACCTTCTGTTTTCTCCTCCTCCCCATGCCATGTGAACAGGATGACTAATGTCTGCTCTCCCCTTAGGCTCCTGCTCAAACCTTTTTCTCTGCAGTCTTGGACCTTGGGGCTTCTTCCTCGCTAGGGGCAGGACAGAGCTTCAAAGCGCCACACACCCAAATGTGTGGAGGTAAGATCTGGCTCCTCAAACACTACTTCAGTTGAAAAGAAGGGAGAACTGCCCACCCTCCATGCCTGCCCACCAGAACAACTGATGGCCCCCTACCCATGCGCTCTCTCAAACTCCTTTGGAGACACTGAGCAGAAGTACCTTCTTTGGTACTCTTTGTAAAGTGCAAAACGGTATGCAGTTTGGTACTGCCCACAGTGGAGGTTGAGGAGCATGGCATGGCTCAGTCAAAGGGTGCTTTGATATTTGACAGAGGAAATAGGGGCCCCCATTTGCACTGAGCTAAAACTTTGGTCTCCTGGCTTCCAGGGACACCAGGTTGACCTGTCCAGGATCCAGCCTGGCATAAACTCACTTTGTGACCTTGGACCAAACCACCCAGCCTCTCTGGAAGGTGTGGAAAAATGTGGCCCCAAAGGCTGAATAAAGCCAGCGAATCAGGGACCTTGAATGCGTGTGAAGGGGCTAGACTTGATTCTGTAGGTGAAGCTAAACCACTGAAGGTTTTTCCGCAGTGTGTGAGCCAGTTCCCCATCTGGGATCCTTCTGGAAGTCATGTGAGTGACAGATTACAAAGAAAAAGAATCAGAGGCAGGGAGACCAGCTGAGAAAGCTTGTCTTGGCCCAGGAGAGACGGGGAAGGCCTGCACTGGGATGATGACAGAGAAAGGAGAGCACAGAAGTCAGACCCGTGGGTCAGCACTAGCTGCTGCTCACTCAGCCCCACCCAGTTCTTGTGTCAAGACAAAAAGAAAACCCAGGTGGCCTCACTGGCCCCCCAAGCAGCTCCATACCTTGATTCCTGGGAATGTGATGGCAGAAGAAGCATAAGAGCCAATCATGAGGGCCATTAACGTGGAGCGCAGGTTCCCAAACATGTTGGGCAACTGAGGGGGGAAAGCAGCACCCATGAGGTGGGGACACCCTGACCCTCGCCCAGCGTTCCCAGCCCTGCTCCATACAACAGCCCCGGGAGACGCAGCAGCAAAGCCCCAAGGCAAAACAAACAGAAAAATCAATGTGGGAAACTGTACTCTGCCCCCTGCCTACACACTCACAGTGCACTTTAGCTTCAAAAAGGCTCCCAGACACCCCTCAGAGAGACACTGTGTTAATTTTGTTTAATCCCAGATTTCCCAAGTTTGTTACGTAACACCTCTGAACAACGCATGGAATAGGTGCTTAAGAAACACTGATCTGGGCTGGGCGCAGTGGCTCACGCGTATAATCCCAGCGCTTCGGGAAGCTGGCGGGAAGCCTGAGGTCAGGAGTTCAAGATCAGCCTGGACAACATGGTGAAACCTCATCTCTACCAAAAACACAAAAATTAGCTGGGCATGGTGGCAGGCACCTGTAATCCCAGCTACACGGGAGGCTGAGGCAGGAGAATCGCTTGAACCTGGGAGGTGGAGGTTGCAGTGAGCTGAGATCACTCCACTGCCCTCTAGCCTGGGTGACACAGGGACACTATGTCCCCACCCACCAAAAAAAAGAAAAGAAAAGAAAGAAACAGTGATCTTATCCAACCCATTTTACATGAGAAAATTGACACCCAGGGAGGAAAAGTGTACTCAAGTTCACAGAGCACATTAATGGCTTTCTCCCCATTGTTAGACTGTCCCAGCCCTAACCCAAGGCTGTGACCATGGCTGTGTCCCGGTAATAGGCGGTGCCTCTTAACCCTCTCGGTTGGCATCCCAGCCCAGTTTCTGCTTAATCAGGACAAATCACGTCCTGGGAAGTGAGGGTGGAAGTAAGGGAGGGAATGGAGGCAGGGCAGACCAAGTCTCCAGAGGAGGTGGCTCTGACGCACAGCAGGGTCAGAACCCCCACCAGGAGAGAATTTAATTGATCATGTGTTCCGCTCACCTGCCTCAGCCAAGCCCTCAGGGCAGGGGAAGGCAAAGTCAGGATGCCCTTCGCACACACCCTCCTCTGGCCCCACCATCCTCCCCGAGTCACTAGATCCCACAGCTGAGAAGGACCTTAGGATTCGTACAAAGCCTAAACCCATTCCACAGAGGGGGAAACTGAGACTCTGAAGGGAGGCCTCAATAGCTCTGGTAAAGAAGGCGTTTAGGCCGGGCGCGGGAGCTCACGTCTGTAATCCCAGCACTTTGGGAGGCCGAGGTAGGTGGATTGCCTGAGCTCAGGAGTTCGCAACCAGCCTGAGCAACACGGTGAAACCCCGTCTCTACTAAAATACAAAAAAATTAGCCAGGCGTGGCGGCGTACGCCTGTAGTCTCAGCTACTTGGGAGGCTGAGGCAGGAGAATTGCTTGAACCTGGGAGGCGGAGGTTGCAGTGAGCCGAGATCGCGCCACAGAACTGCAGCCTGGGCGACACAGCGAGAGTGCGTCTCAAAAAAAAAAAAAAAAAAAAGTGTTTAAACACAGAAGATAACTAAATTCTCCTTCCCCCTCCTACCGAAGTGGCTGGCTCAGGAAAAACCTCTACCCACTCAGGCAGAGGTTTTCCTGCACCCTGCATCTGTGAGGCACCGCTGCCAAGGACGCCAGGGAAGGGTGCCAGGCCTGGAGAGGGCAGGGCCCTCTCCCCTCCAAGGGGCCACAAACGCTGTCTCCGCCCGGTACCGTGGGTAGAGCGAGGCCGGCCGGATAACCCCGGGCTGGCAGCCTTGCAGCCCGCGTGGCAACAGCAGCTGGGCCCGCAGGACGCAGCACCATACGTGCTGGTCCAAGTCTAGGCCAAGCGCAGCGGCCCAGGGGGCGGGGCCGGCCGGAGGGAGCGGGGAGCGGCTGAGGGGCGGCGCCGGCGCCGGACCCTGCCATTGGCTGGAGGTTACAGGAGGCGGGGATATAGCGGGAAGGAGCCGCTGGTCAAGCCCCACCCGGCAGCCACGGAGGGTCTGAGGCCAAGCCCCAGAGAGAAGGGATTTAGGGCCCTGGGCCAAGTTGCACAGCAGGGAGAAGGGGCTGCGCTGAGGGGCGGGGAGAAAGGGATCCGCTTCCTTCCTTGAGAGTTGTGAAATGCTCCCGGTTGGAATTAAAGGCGGCTGCTGGGGCGAGGTGAAATTCAGCCAAAACCACCCGGTCAGGCAGCCCTTCTCAGAGAGAAACAGTCCAAGCCAGCCCAGCCAGGACCCTTCCCCTCCACCCTCCCGACACTCCTAAGCCTTTAACGCGTGTACACACTCACATAAATAAACACACTTAGAACAACACACATACACAACTCACCACATGTAATAATAGGTCAAGCCACGTGCACGATGAAGTGTCGACAGTTTCATATGGTTCAAGCTGGTACACTCACAAACACACCTACCAACTCATGGCTTTTACAGGGACAGGGTCACACACCCACTCTCCCACGGCATGGCAAGCATGCACACGCTGTCTCAAGCTGCTCGCTCCCCCTCACGATCATTACCCAGTTTTATTTTCTTCCCAGCACCTATGACTACTGACATAATTTATTAGTTTACTTGTTTATTCGGTTGTCTGTGCCCCTCACCCCCAAAAGGTAACCTCCAGCGGGGAGGATGACGTGGTCAGTCCTGACAGTGCTGTAATCCAGGACCTAGAACAGAGCTCCATAGACATTCATGGGCTCTGTACACACAAACACACACATTAACATACAGCCTGACACACAGCCTCATCCACACACGCACAGCCTCACACCTGCTCTTTGCAGCCACCCTGCAGTTTCTCCACACATCCACCTGATCTAGTGATCTGCGTCCACAGGCCCCTCCCCCAGCCCACTCACTCTGCCCTCACCCCACTCGGGGGAATTCTGCCGCCAGGCCAGGCCTGTAACACTCACCGTGAGTGAAGTGAACGTTAGGCAGATGCCACCAAAGCCATTCAGGGACAGCGCCAGGAATATCAATGGAGACAGAACTGGAAAGGGTTGAAAGCGGCAGATGAGGGCATTTGGGGAGCTGTGGGAAGCCAAGGGCAGGAGCTGGGGTAAACATCCACCTTCATCCCACCCATTCTTTTCTTGTGGAGCCACAAGAGGACAGACAGCTCACCTTCCACGTCCCGGGAGGCCAGGGCCATGAGGGTGCAGGACGCAGCGAAGCAGGCACTGTGGAGACACAGGGAAGGGCAAGGGGTTGGCCTGTGAGCGCCTCCCCTCCCCTTCCCCTGCAGCATGGTCTCTGTCCTCCAGTTCCCCATAGCCCAGCCACCTCACCTGCCAACCAGCCGCACGGGTCGAGGGCCAAAGCGGTCCATGAGGATCCCCAATGGCAGGGTGGTGGCACTGAGCACAAAGGAACCGATGGTGAAGCCCAGGTTGAGCATCTCATCCTGCCGGTCACAGCCCGGCCACCTGCGCTGCTCTTCCTGGGTGCTGTTGGTGCTGTTCTCAGCTGAGGAGGGGAAAGGGAGGGCTCAGCACATGACAACAGGAACAGCTGGGCACAGGAGACAGCAGCCTGCAGTCAGGGGACCTGCTTTCGAATCCCATGCCAGGTGCCTTTAGGGGTACCCTAGAGTCACATCTCCTCTGACGGGGCTGCTCCAGAAATGGCAGCAGTTAGTACCTGACCCTGGGAGAGTCTTGCACACACACGGCCTGAGGCTTCAACTAGCTCAAATGAAATACTGGACATAAAAGTATTTACCAAGTTGTAATATGCACTCAGCGTCCAAGCTTAGGGGGCTGTGGACCCCCAACAAGAAGTGCCCCCATATCTAAAGGCAAAGGCAGTGAGTGGTGCTCTAATGGCTATAACAAGAATTCATTAAAATGGCCAGGCGCAGTAGTGCATGCCTGTAATCCCACCACTTTGGGAGGCTGAGACAGGCAGAGATCGCTTGAGCCTACAAGTTTGAGACCAGCCTGGGCAACACGGTAAAACCCCATCTCTAAATACAAAAAAAAAAAAAGACATTTAGAAAGAATTCACTAAAACTTAGAGGACGCTTTCCCGATAAATGATAGTCTGAAAAAGAATTACTAATACTTACTGAGCACTTAACTGTGTTCCAGGCACTGTTCTAAACATAACAGCCCCATGAGTCAGTTAATACAGTTATCCCATTCCCCAGGTGATAGCTGAGGTACAGAACGAGGACCAGTCACTGCCCTCCAGTCCCCTCTAAAAGTCCACCTGGAGGACTTGTCCTTAACGGTAAACCGCCAACTCGGAGTTGTGACAAGCTAAGGAGAAAAGCTAGTGATAGGAGATAAAGGGTTGCTTCGCTTTGCTCAGTGCTCAGTGAGACATGAGATGGCTGCCCCAGGCCTCCAATTTGTCACTTGGCAGCATTGCCAAGGGCAAACTCTGGGTACACCTGGGGCAGGCAGACAGACCAGGGTCTGAATTCCCACCACCAGCCTTACTAGCTGTGCCCCTTGACCCAGTAACTTCCTCCTTGTCTGTAAACTGGACCAAAGAATGCCTAACCCATGACCTGGTTAGGAGGATTCAACTGGAGACAGTAAACAAAGAGCTTTGCACAGTGCCTGGCCCAGAGAAAGTGCTCCTGAAGGATCTGACGAAGGGGTAGCTGACCCTCCTGGTGGGTCATGTGGTAAGCACGTACTCTAGGAGCTGGGCATCCACACTGCATGAGACAGGAAGTTCTCAGCTCTAGAGTGACAGGCGCTGCTAAAAGAACAAACCAGGCCAGGTGCAGCAGCTCACACCTGTAATCCCAGGACCTTGGGAGGCCAAGGTGGGTGCATCTCTTGAGCCCAGGAGTTCAAGACCAGCCTGAGCAACACTGGGAAACCTTGTCTTTACAAAACGTATTTTAAAAATTAGCCGAGCATGGTGATGCATGTCTGTAGTTCCAGCTACCCGGGAGGCTGAGGTGGGAGGATTGCTTGAGCCCGGGAGGTCAAGGCTGCAGTGAGCCGTGATCACACCATTGCACTCCAGCCTGGGTGACAGAGCAAGGCCCTGTCTCAAAAAAAAAAAAAAAAAAAAAAAAGAAGAAAAAGAAAACAAAAAAACCAACAAGGGGAAAAGGGGATGTGACAATGCCTGGATACAAGGGGGTGGTATAGAACATCTGCCCTCAGTGGTGAAAACAACCTGACTTTACGTATCCAAAGGGCGTGCAGGCGGCAGAAGAGTAAGGGTAAAGGGATCTGTGTGTTAACATAAGGAAGAACACAAAGGCCTGGCAGATCCTGAGTGCTGACCAACCAGGGAAGGAACCGTCCTGGGCAACAGAGAGTCTTCTTTAGTACCAGCTGCCAAGGAGGTGGGGAAAGTGCTCAGACACCTCCAGGAAGCACTTAGGGGGTTGGACCACACAGCCTTTGGGTATCAGGCTAGCCCTATAATTTAGTGATCTTTGTGATCACTGTTCATTTCTCTACAGGCGTTGTTTTTTTTTTTTTTGAGACAGAGTCTCACTCTGTCACCCAGACTGGAGTGCAATGGTGCAATTACAGCTCATTGCGCCTTTGACTTCCAAGCTCACTGTAGCCTTGACCTCCCGAGCTCAAGTGATACCCCCACCTCAGCCTCCCGAGTAGGTGTGTCTACAGGTGCACGCCACCACATCTGGCTAGTTTTTGTATTTTTTCTAGAGACGGGGTTTCGACATGTTGCCCAGGCTGGTCTCGAACTCCTGGGCCCAAGTGATCTGCCTGCCTGGGCCTCCCAAAGTGCTGGGATTAGAGACATGAGCAACTGTGCCCGGCCTCTCTACAGGTTTATCTGCATTGGTTTATTCACTCTACACCCACTCACTAGATATTTACTATACACCAGCACTGTGTTGGGACAATGTGTAAAGCAAGAAGAAATGCAAAAATGATTTAGACCAGAAGCTGCACACGGGTGACCAGCAATGGCCCCCACTCATGTTTTGCTTGGTTGGCAATGTTGATCCATCCTTATGGTGTTGTAAATTATAATTGGGTGCCAGTTTAAATTCAGGAGTTATCACATAAAAATCCAGATTTTTGGCTTCTCTTTAAAAAGTCAGAAGATCTGGGCATGACTGTAGCTGAGTGGAGGCCATCCTTTTTGCCAGGGCTTGCCTTCTCAAGGTCATACCCGTCCTCACCTCTCTTTTAATTCCCATACATTTGCTATCCTACACCTGCCCTGCTTTACCCAATTATTTGCAAATGCCTGGCCCCAACTGGCATTTTTATTTGCAGTCCCTGAATTAGACACTGTTCCTGCTCCTAAGTGTTTGATAATCAAATGACAATTTCCCTCACAAACAATCCCACTAGCATGCAAATTAACACCTACTTTGTGCTAGTGTTTTCTATAGAGAATCCCATTTAAACCTTGCAACAACCCTAAAAGGTGAGTACAATGGTCCCCATTTTATAAACGGTAAAAGATCCAAGATGCAAAGCAATTCAGTTACCCAGCTTTTAACAGGCAGGCTCAGATTCAAAGTCAAGATAATCTCCAAAGTCAACAGTTTTCCACTGCACCTAAGGGCCTCTGTGTTACATGGGCCAGTTTGCTTAGTAAGTTTCTCAAGTACACGTCAGTGCCAGAAAGGACACGTGCTCTTCCACTAAAGGAGAATCCAGTCCCATGAACTGCTAATGACTTAGTGTCAATTCATACATTCATTCCTGTTTTATGGATCAGCCTTTTATGAGTTTCACCAATGAGTTCATTCATAAGGCTTGATCACTCTGAGTAGTTGGATAAAATCCAGATTCTGAACTAAGAGGGGAACCAGCCCAAGATGCCAAGACCTCTTAGAGCTGTGTCCATGTTAATGACAACAGAAAAGGTCTTCGGCGGGGCCGGGCGCGGTGGCTCAAGCCTGTAATCCCAGCACTTTGGGAGGCCGAGGCGGGCGGATCACAAGGTCAGGAGATCGAGACCATCCTGGCTAACACGGTGAAACCCCATCTCTACTAAAAAAATACAAAAAAAAAATTAGCTGGACGTGGCGGCGGGCACCTGTAGTCCCAGCTACTCGGGAGGCTGAGGCAGGAGAATGGTGTAAACTCGGGAGGCGGAGCTTACAATGAGCTGAGATCACACCACTGCACTCCAGCCTGGGCGACAGAGTGAGACCTCCATCTCAAAAAAAAAAACAAAAGGTCTTTGGTATCAACCCCCCACCCCAACATTTACAGACAAATAAAGCAAAGCATAGGATGGGATTCGAAGCCAGGGAAAGCAGTGTTTCCTAATATGTGGTATGCACAGCATGTAGGCACTCAAGATGGGTTCAGGAAGTAACATGGAGCAGTTTTTAAGGTTTCATAGTTAATTGTTATTTGAATGTTTATTTAAAACATACATTGGCCAGGCGCAGTGGCTCACACCTGTAATCCCAGCACTTTGGGAAGCCAAGGCAGGTGGATCACTTGCGATCAGGAGTTCAAGACCCACCTGGCCAACATGGTGAAACCGTCTCTACTAAAAATATAAAAATTAGCTGGGTGTGATGGTGGGTGCTTGTAATCCCAGCTACTCCAGAGGCTGAGGCAGGAGAATCACTTGAACCTGGGAGGCAGAGGTTCCAGTGAGCTGAGATCACATCACTGCACTCCAGCCTGGGCTACAGAGAGAGACTCCATCTAAAAAAACTAACTAACAAAAAAAATAAAATAAAATAACAAAATAACATAAAATAAATAAAATAACATAAAAAATAAAATAACAAAATAAAATAAAAAACAATGTATATATGTACATATATATGTATGAGAAACATATATGTATATGTATAACTTGTGGGGGTGGGTAACAGCTAACTCAATATTCCAAGAATATTACACTTTAGAATGAAGCTATTTTTTTTAAGTAGACTGATTCAAAAGGAATTATTAGTAAATAACAGTAGCTATGGCACATAGAAATGGTAAAATCATGAAGGTGAACTGCAAATGACTAGGTCTAGGAAACAATGGAAAATGGGATGGTTGTGAAGCATCTGGAGTCTGGAAGAGCTGGGTTCAAATTCTAATTCCACTAGCTGTGCTGCAGAAACTCTCTGAGGCTCCATTATTTCATCTGGGAAATGGGGACAGTGGTCTCAACTACCTGAGAGGCTGGCTCTGAGAACTGTCACACATACACGCACAGCGAACACTCACAAAATGATCCCATTTTCTTTGTCTCCCTGCTTACCGTTCCTTTCCTAACCCCATGATGCTTCCCTTTCCTGCCTCAGACAAGGTCACATTCAGCAAAAACACCTTAGGGGTTGGGTGGTGGTTCATGCCTATAATCCCAGCACTTTGGGAGGCCGAGACAGGAGGATCGCTTGAGTCCAAGAGTTTGAGACTAACCCTGCCAACATAGTGAGACCCCATCTATACAAAAAATAAAAACATTAGCTGAGCATAGTGGTGCACACCTGTAGTCTCTGCTACTCCAGAGGCTGAGGTGGGAGGATCACTTGAACCTGGGAGGTGGAGGCC